GATCATATGTTTACTTTCTAAACTTAATTCAATATTCACATACCGTCCTTATAATTATACATGATAAAAGCAGGGTTAGTTGGTTTTGCAGAACACTGAAAAGGAAAATTTGGATTTATTTACATTTTTTTAAAAACTCTCACACCCTGTAGGTCATTTCATTACCCTAAGAGAACAGGTTTCCTTTAGATTCTCTTTACAATATAAATGGACTTTGCATAATACATATTTCCATATTTTAATTTAGTTAATACACAATATTGAAATAAATATTATTGTAAATTATCCTCTCACAAGGTCTAATGAGTATTTCCCAGCTCCTTTTATTTGGAATTGGGAAAGCTGAGTTGCAGATGAGCAGGCTGATACTGCCACAATGCTTCCTTCATTATGTTTCTTCCTCCCTCTACCAATAGAGTTCAGACACTTTAAAAAATTAAATAACCATATTTGCATAATATACAAAGCAAAACTGGGAACAAAATATGATTAAACCAGAGCAAAGAGGTTTAGGTTTTTATATATCAACGTTTTTTGCTATGATAATCATTCTAGCAACACTTCTAGCAAACAAAATGTAGCAGCAAAATTTCTTTAGCTAAAATTATTAAAAGCCTTCTATGAATCAGGTAAAACATACTGCCAAAGCATTTCTTTTTGTATCTACTTGACCAGCTGTGTCTAGAATCTGTGCCAGCACAGCCATATAGACAGCAACAACAGAGTCATAAGAAGACTAGTATTTATTCTTCTTCTCTCGCTATCCACAAGATTGAACAATTCTCAAATGATACAAACTTCCTGACCTTTGATGCTTTCAAATAAAGAATGTTTCAGTCTTAGCCTCTTAAGAATCACCAAAGCTAGCAGAGGAACTCATATGCTGTTGTATTAGATTTTTTTTTTCCTCCTAAGAGCTCACATAGACAATTTAATTAACATTTCCTTCATTTCTAGCAGTAATTGTACTCCTCCTGCTGGACAAACAGAGGCAATAACCACAACCCATCTTTATGACAGTATCAACTACAAGAGCCAAGAATACTATGCAGCGATTTTCTGCTATGAGACCTGAAGCTGAAAGATTGTATCTCTATCTAAACGTTTTCCTCCATTAGCTTTAAAGCCTTACCTTAGCATACTAAACAAAAAAATATTTGGTGTTTTCTTACTTAACACTTCAAAAATAAACCCACAAAGTTTCATTCAGAAGGAAATACTAGCATGCATACAGTGATCATAGTTTCATAATGCATTAATCAGTACTGTGATAAAATTATGATTTCACAACAGCATTAAAAGCAGTTCTAATTCTATGGCTTTGGTGTTATGTACTATTTTATATCCAAAGAATAAAAATAATAATGAAGGCACACTGCCAAAAAATTCACAAGTATTTTTAATGAGCAGGAAGTAAGCTAATTCCAGATGGCTGTTTAGGAAAAAACGATCCAGTTTTTTGAATCTGTGCTAAACACTAGCTCCTGTCAATTCAGAAAATGTGAGCTCTTGGTTACAGCTAAAATTTCTACAAAGAATAGCACCGACCTACCTATGAGAAAGGTAGAAGGTACTGCAGTCTCTGGAATGCTGTGGTACTTCAACTTTAATTGATATACAAAGACTAAAAAAAACTTGCAGGATGCTTGCCTAAAAACCTAATAAAAATCAAATCTCACTGGGCTTTGATGTCAAAATTCTGTAATTCTGACAAATTATTCTGTGGCACAAAGCTATACAGCATCATATATTTAGCAACACTTCAAAAAAATCAGCTTAATGGGGCTCTGATGTCATCTTCCAGGCAGATATATTTACTAGATACACAAAAACATTATTCTTAATTTTCTGTACTTTAGTGAGTGCCCCCCAATCCTGCAGCTGAAAAACTGAGACAGTTGAATACCACTGAGTGTACTACTAGGCTTAACAATGCTCTTAACAGACCAGATCTGCTGTTTCTACTAAGTTTTTCTATACAGCGTAAAGATATTTATCTCTCTGGGGCACAGAATGTTACATACTATAACACAGATCCAGTTTTGCAAAGGGAAGAGTGCCATTTGAAATGTTCACATATGCAAATATATAAAGCAAAAAAACTCACAGCTAAAACAAACGAAAACTAAACAAAACAAAGTACTCCTCTTTTTTCCATGACCCTGTATAAATTTAGGCAGCCAAATACAGAACTTGATCCACTCTTCAGGGAACTACATTAAACTGGGTTAAAGTAACTTTTGCATATGTATTCCACCTCTTAACCTGTCACATCTTCTCAAGGGTAGATATTAAAAGTAGGCCTCTCTCCAAAAGACTTGAAAATCAACCCAGTTAAACCATCAAGAACCAAGTTTCATATGTATTCATTTTTTGAACTGGTATTAGAATCATAGAACCATGAAATGGTTTGGGTTGGAAGGGACCTTAAAGATCATCCAGTCCAACCCCCTGCCACAGACAGGGACATCTCCCAATAGACGAGGTTGCTCAAAGTCCTGTCCAACCTGGCCTTGAACACTTCCAGGGAGGGGGCATCCACAGCTTCCCTGGGCAACCTGTGCCAGTGTCTCACCACCCTCACAAGCAAAGAATTTCTTCCTAATATCTAGTCTAAATCTATCCTCTTCCAGTTTAAAACCATTCCCCCTCATTCTGTTGCTACCTGCCCTTGTAAAAAGTCCCTGCTCAGCTTTCCTGTGGGACCCCTTCATGAACTGAAAGGCCACAATAAGGTCTCCCCAGAGCCTTCTATTCTCCAGGCTGAACAGCCCCAACTCTCTCAGCCTGTCCTTATAGGGGAGGTGCTCCAGCCCACCGATCATCTTCGTGGCCCTCCTCTGGACCCGCTCCAACAGCTCAATTATTACTAGTAACTATTTCATATTAACTCTTTAAAAGTTGTAAATAGTCTGAAGTAAACATGATTACCTTTTCCTCTCCTGCACACACCATCTCCAAGCAAATAATCTGATTTCTTTTCATTCTGCTTTTAAAAAGCAAGGCTAACAAACAAAACTTGGGTTCATTATCTAAACACAGTGTAATTACTTGAAGTAAGTCAGAGTATTCAGGGGACTCTCACAACAAAAAAGAAATATTCTACCATGAAATTACATTATTAAAAAAGCACTACCAATTTCATACAAAGATATTTTTTTTTTCAAAATAACAGTCCTCCTAGAAGCACTGCAATAACCAATCCAGTATTCACAACAATATCACTGAGAAACTTTTGCTCTTGAAACCTGCAAGCCCTGTGCACAGGAAGCCTTCAGAATACAGAAAGTATAAGATCATTCTATCCAGAAATGTAGTAGGTTAACTTAATTTATAAATTAAGAATAAGTTTACAAAGCTACTGAAACTAGAAGCAAGGGCATTTAAATTTAATTATCTTTCAGTTTCCAAAAACCCAAAATGTAATATATCCACAAGAAATTCTACTTAGATGACAGATTCTTTACTGACACAAAAGACAGCAATTTCATCTCTCTTTTAACTTGAATGCAGCTACAATAAATCAAAATAGCTCCCTCAAATCTCACAATGCCTGTAAAAAAAGGTGACTATGAAAAGCCCACACGCAATGATCTGAAAACAAAGAAAAAAATATGAGTACTCCATTTTAAGAGACCTATTTTACAGGTTTGTCTCAGTTTACAGGGCAGTGTCTATAGAAAGATCCTCCAAGTAGACAGAAAATTCTTCTCTTTTCTGTATTTCTGGAGTTCACTGAAACATTTAAATGGCAATATTCACATAGATTAAAAACTTTTTAAAATGAAATTTCTTGCAAAAATTCTCAACTTTGGTACATTCCATATAAGACAAAGTTGGTATCTATCAACTTGCAGGTAACACTTCTATCAGTTCTGGATGATCCAGGGAGTATAGTCTTCTCACATTTTCAGCTCTCCTTTGGTACATCATCTTCACATATGCTGTCCAGGGAACATCACATCCACTGCCAACTGATACAGAAGCAAACAAGAAGCCTGGAAGGCTATGTGCCATACTTTTTGAGTAGAATTTTTCAGGAAGTTTAGTATTCTTATTTTATACAATGTAGGATCCAAAAATAATATAACAAACTCAAGTTGTTCCACAAAACTGAAAACGGGACTTTCCTTACCCATGACCAAAAGCTAGTCTCCAGCAGCCTTGGAAGATGGGTGTGATGTCACCAGCAGTGAGTATACTGGGGTATCTCATCAACATGGAGTAAACAATGGGCAGCACCTCAGCATTTGGAAAAAAACTCAACAAAATTTAAAGCGGACAACTAATTTCTGAGAAGGTCTTGGTCTTTGCACTTAGGCCATTTGTAATGTTATATAATTTTGCATGTAGTAGTAGACTATTAGAAAAACTTGTCGTTTTCCTCTTTAGTGCACCTGTATTTGTTATAGTGCAGTACAAACACAAAATCAATTTCAGATTCAAAGTTGAAGTATTTATGCTTCTTTATGAGCAAGACTTCATATCATTTTCTTCAAAATGAAGAGTATCAGCTTTGCTGTTCTAGCACTTTCAAACATTTAGCAACTTTCAAGCAAACCTCTTGAATATTCTGAATGTTACAGATAATATACATTAATGAGCAGCAGACACAGAGATTTTACAACTTCAATTCCATAATGGAAGAAATTCTGTCATTTTTTACTCTATTCCAATGTGTAAGTTCATTTTCTCTGTGTATGTATTCAACTGCATTTTGCTGATGACAAGATGCTGAAATATGATAATGGCACAGAGTCCAAGTAAAACAAACCAAACATAATTCTCCCTTAACCCATATACCTTTTCAAAGTAACACAAAATATTGCTTCAAAACCAATGTACATTATTTTTCTCCTTTCAGAATGATGGTATGTTTTTTCTCATTTTTCTGGGAACATCAGCATTTTTAAATAAGGACTTAGGATTGACAAAAACTACACTCTGAATAAATATACTTTGGAGAATGTAAAGAGAAATTTCAATACACCTAAAGTAGTTACCTTGTTTCTAGTCAGTATTCACTGATCACACCTAAAGGCACCTGATTCTGTCCTCCCTTCCTAGATTTCTAAGAAAACCATGTTTTTAACATACAGAAATAATATACATTTTTAGAATTGTATTTTGTTACTTACCATGAATCAGTTTGTTCTCCTGAACTCTCTTCACTGTCAACAAGCAAGCCAGCAGAAATGTGTAGTAACTAGATACCAAAATAAATTACATTGCAGTACTAGCTATTTATTCACTTCAAAGAGAAAATAGATTCTTACCCCATTTTCTTTTTTCAGAGGCAAAAAGTAGTAGTAATGGCAGAAATCAAGTATCAGCGTATATGAACTAAGGATCTGGGTGTAGAAACACAGCTGTAAAAACAGCCAATGATTGTCTTCACCAACACAGTTATTAATCCTGCAGAGAAATAAACTATATATAAAGACAGAAATATAAAGACTTGAACACTACAGTTATCATAGAATCATAGAATATCTTTAGTTGTAAGGGACCCATAAGGATCATAAAGTCCGACTCCCTGCTCCACACAAGACTACCTAAAACTAAAACTAAGAGTGTTGTTCAGACGCTCCTTGAACTCTGACGGACTTGGTGCCATGACCACATCCCTGGAGAGCCTGTTCAGTGAAGAACCTTTTCCTAACATCTGATCCAAGCTTCCTGTGACACAGCTTCATTCCATTCCATAAGGCACCCCTTTGAAAGTCACTACCACACTGTATCTGCTTAGGGTTGTTTTCAATTTTATAGCAAGCCCTCCAAATCCAAGGTTTGTCTAGAGACTAATGTCCACACACTTTTCATCTGTCATCCGCTTTCTTTACTTCCACCTATTCTGACTCGCATATAGAGGGTGTTGCCAAGGTGTGTCTTGAATGCCAGGCCAGACTTCAAAAGAAGACTGAACAAAATCACAAGAAAAATATCTTAAAGGTCAGCCCTTCTTCCTGAAGCCAGCTCAAATTACACAGAGACTTATCAGACACTGTAAGACGTAATTCTGTCTTCCTGTGTTCCTTGGGACACCTGGACTCTTTCAAAGTACATTCAGACTAAGCACAAGCAGAGATCCTACTTAGCCTGTTCCCTGGGGCAGGTTGTCAGGGCCTTAATGTCCCAATAGGCCCCTGATCAGCACCACCGAGAACTTCCACCTATGCCACATCTACCCACTGACTTCTGGGTAGATGGCCTAGATTAGCCACATCCAACTAAAAAAAACCCCTCACCCTGCACGGTCCTCAGGTGAGGTGCTGGGAATCAGTAACTACTCTGGGTGTGGGGGTGTTGCAGGAGCCTTCAAGGTTGTGATCTGCTGCTGTGGCTGGGCTTAGGATCTACCAGAACTTTGAAATTAGCCTGGAGCTGTGGTTATGATATTGTGAATAAGAGAATTTATTATTATTTCTGGAGCAAATATAAGAACTACTAACTAACCACTCCATTCTTAATCAAAGTGACCATCTTTGTCTTACAGATGGCAGCTACTGTAAAAAGTAAAACTGCCACTTAAAGTGTAGGCTGCATTACAGATATCACTGCTTAGAACAGGAGACACATTTCCCTGTACCTTCACATAGCAAACACAGTCCTACAATTTTAACTAATACTCATGAAACAAAATTATTTCTTAAAAGTCTGTAAAATTTCACAATAATACATATTATCTTCTGCTACTCAATATATTTCACTGATTGTGAACTATGTAGAGTCCAAAAAGTGAAAATGCAAATTAATGGTTTGAAATAAATGTGATCACAGGGTATGCCAGTGACAAATAAGCAGGACTTAGGAAGGAGCCTAAGAAACACAAGACAGAACAGGTATGTCTATTCAGAAACTCCTTCTAATACTCCAACATAAAGGAGTAAAGGCATCACAAGAATTCTAGATACATTAACTACAAGATTTAAACCCTTTAAAATCTAGGTCTAGTCTGCTTCACAAGAAGTTATACTGATGCAAAAAATGTGTTTGACGTGCAATACAAGCATTGCCACAGCCATCAGTACCAAGCTAAGCTATAAGGACAAAAGTGCTATATGTGCGCTATTTTCTGAAGTAGCAATTGACAAAAACGGTAGTTTGAAAAATGGCTACATTGACATAGGAAGATCCTGATGCTAATTCTGTCCTCTGCGGTTCATCATTGCTGTCTTGTGAGAAATGATACCTCAGAACTATGGACAGCAATGTTTATTTTCATTTTAGCTACAGATAATGAGTTTAAATAGAGAATTTTAGACAGATTAGTTCATTTTCACTGAAACTAGTTACAGAACACTAAAATAAGCAATTTCACTACAAAATCAGAGAGGCTATGACAAGTGGGGCATGGTATGAGTCAATAACATTTTCGACTCAGCCATTCCGTAAACTGAAACCCAAAAACTGTCTAAAAACCTTGACCTATTTTTATTAAGAGCACCCCCTCCTATGTTTAGAGTACTTTATTTCAAACCAAGAAACACAAATATTTCATTTTCCACTAAAAATATTTTTCCAGCATCAGAAAATAAATTGCTACAAATGAATTAAACCTTTAATATAAAAATGAATTATGGTGAGATCAGTTTTAGGAGTAAAAATTCCAATTCTTTAAGCAAAATATGTGAATTTTCTGAAATTATATGGCATCAAACAATTTGACAATGATTAAATATTACACTGCAACAGTTCTTACTGTCAGTTTTATTTGTAGGCCTAAGAAAGTCTCAAAACTGTTCTTTCCCAGCTCTAAATGCCTAAATGATTAACCACTACTGAGAAAGAAATACAACAAATGAACAATAGTATAGACCATGAACTTTGAAATGATTCACTAAAACAGTAGATTGTTAGAACAAATATTCTGGTCTCACCATGGACAGTGGTGATCCATCCTCCTCACACAATGTCCGCAACGACTGCAATGGTGTGAACGCTTTGGTCTCATCGTATTACATTTGTTACATAATTCCCAATATTCTTGTTCTAAGTGAAAATGTAAAGATAGATTAGAGAGATTTAAATTCAGTATAGCACACCAATGCTAAATCTATATGCCAGTGATTCAAGGAGAAAAATTTCTTACTATCATCTGAGAAGTGTTAGCGGCATATCAACTTTTTCCCACTGTCACCCCAATTAAACTGGAAGATATTACTGTCACTCTGTGCCAGTTTTCTTCTCCAAACTCATATCTCCTTCTATACATTTCTAGGGAGTAATTATTACAGCACAAAAACTGTCCAAGTGATTCAAGTATCTTCTGATGTGTCTACTGTTAAAAACCACTTATCTGCTAGACAGAATCACTGTACAATCTCACTGTCAAAGCTTCTTGAGGAAATACTGCTACTTGAATTTGTCAAAGCTAGCTAGCTAAAATAAAATATACAGTGAACACTTTAGGAGCATCTTCCATCTCAAAGCATTTCAAGACACGCATCCCACGGCATGCAATTTTACACGAGGCAACCAAAGAACAGATAGAGGATAGGCTTTTATATAAAACATACACTTTTTCTGGATGCCAAATGTGCAATTCTTTAAGCTGAGATTTCCAGTATCTTGAGAGATACTGAATTGCTGAAACTACCAAGAGCTACTATTGCTCAGCTTAGCTATTATTTATCTCAAATTGCACCACCCAAATTAGAGGAAGCCTTTGAAAACGTGAATTCAAATTATATATCCAGAGAGTTCACCTTCACATGGGAAGCAAATCACACCAACACTGTAATACTTCAATTCACAAAAGCATGTATTTTCTGCCTTTAAGAAAAACAGGTGTATGACTGAAAATCTTAAATATTTTGACAGGTTGTTTCTACCTAAATAGAACTTTTTGATGCAGAGAAGCTTCTTAAATCTCAGTTTAAAAAAAAAAAAACTGCAGTAGAGCAGTCTGAAATTTTATACAGTAAAGCATTGTCCATATGTAAACAAAGTTCAATTTAGCACTTCTGAGCCACCTGCTGCAGCTCTCATCTTGTCTTTCTTGCTGTAAAATAATATCTGGACACCAGAATTAAAAAAGTCCAATACTTGAGATTATTAAAGTAATAATAATGGAAATTTATTTACAATCTGTTCTCATAAATCCAGTGTCACAAAGGTGTCACTCCCTAATAGGATAGCTATCAGCAGAGTTTGGAAACACACGGACCTCATTTTTT